TGAACCACATGCGATTAAACACGTATTCAAATAAGATATTGAAATGACAATGTAGTTTGAATTATGCACCGAGCCCCGCTGCATGCATGACAAGATAAATGGATGCAAGCATGTGATATGTTAATTAAAACATGTCCCTAATCTAACCTTTAAAAGCGATTAAATAAAAAGGAGAAAGACGTGGGGTTAGAAGACATACACGCGCACACACACACACACACACACACACACACACACACACACACACTTATTACAATATTACGCCCTCGTGAAGGAGGGTCCAAATGAATGAAAGCTAACTAGCTAACTAGGCTAACTAAGCTAGCTAATACAAAACTTGAAACTAATTAACTAGCTATACTAGCTAACTAATTATTACAAACAGATTTAATTAACTATTCTAGTTAACTAATTACAAAACGAAATTGAATAACTAGTTAAACTAACTAATTATTTACAACACTTAATTAGCTACAACTAATTAATTACAACACATATTTAATCTATTGCTAATTAAATTGATTAGCTAATCTCAGGAAGCGAGGGATTTATGCATGCTCGGTTTCCACCAAAAAAACATCTGCTGTTTTGCTTTTAATTGCCTGTGCTGCACAACCCTTTCACTAGTTTTCCACATCTGGACCAATTCTACTCTGCTTCAGGAACTCACTATTGATTTTTACACTGGTGGTCGACAAGGGGGCCGGTCGGCCACTGATGATGGTCGATCGGCTACCAATGGTGGTCGGTCAGCTACTGGTGGTGGTTGGTCGGCCATTGATGATTGGACTTCCTTGTTGCAACAGAGAGCAAACATAGCAAAATAGTGTATTTCTCAAGGGCTTGTTTGCATAATTCATCCCCCTTTTCATGGACAAATCGAAGGGAGACAAACCTTGGCCCACAAACCATCAACTCAAGCAATTTCATTGCATGATGGCTCACAAACCAAAGTGTGCAATTTCATTAAATGTAACAAAATGAGACTCTAACCTCCTTCCTTTCATGAGTTGATCAAGGGAAGTAGTTAACCTTGGAGACTTGGATCATTTCATCACTAGTGAGTATGAAATGGCCGAAGTTTCCATGTGTTCAATTAACGTCTGATTGAACACAACCAAATTATTATCTTACATAATTTTAGTTTCAAGTTTTAATCACTCATTTTAATTTGCCAACCATTCCTTAGCAAATTAAATCCAATAATGAATTAAAGTCTTTTAATGGAAAGAAGACCCAAAACAAAAGTTGCTATGGGTATGAAGGAAGTATCATATAGTTGGTAATGAACCCCTTGACGGATTAAACCATTAAGCATGACACCTCAATTTCATACTCGGGCAAGCAAGTAACTTGAAATCACTTTCAAAGCAAAATAAAAGCCAAGAAAGGAGAGAGGTTGCAGAGATGATTAAGTGCTGAAAATGAGTGATAAAAACATAAATAAATGCTATCTACTCAAACAAGAAGGTGTCTAAGACCTAGAACACCAAACATGTGAGGACTATTACACTACAAGCATGCAATATAAAGCCCAAAGGACACAACAAGCCCGAAATAGTCCCAAAACGGTCCAAAACAAGTCCTAAAACATACTGGAATTAAGCAAAAAATAGCTTAGATTAATATACTAAAATATAGAGCATGCTAAACGAGTAAGCAAGACAGAAGGAGGGGAGGCTAACCCCCCAAAATTTGGACTTCAAAACAAAATTTAGCCACTGAAATAACTCTAAAAATCAGTGTTTAAAAGCTTGAAAAAAGAGAGTAAAAGGGTGGGAAACACAAGAGCAAAGGCCTCCAAAACAAGGTACAAACAAGGGCTATCAAACCCTCAACCTTTAATGGTCTTAGGACCCAAGCTTCAGCCTAAAAACACAAAGTTTTTATAGTCTGAAATTAGTTGGAAAACATGTTAGAATGAAGACAAAAGTAGCTAAAACATGGAGCTTTTGAGCTAGTAAACAAGCATAAAAAGGGGTGGCTAACCCCTCCATTTTTGGGACCTCAAAACAACATTTTTAGCCTCTGAAAAACTCTAAAAATCAGTGGTAAAAAGTTGGGAAAAAGTTGATGAAGGGATGGGAAACACAAGTGGAAAGGCTTAGAGAATAAGGTTCAAAGAATGGTGATTAACCCATCAACCTTTAATAGCCTTAAACCACAAGCTTCAGTACATAAAAACAATTGAAAAACACTTCTAAATTAACAAGAAAAGATAGAAAAGAAGTAGTGCAAAGGTGCTCAAAATTATACCTCTTGAAGAGGAATAACACTTTTGTTCACAAACCAACCAATTCTCACTCTCAAGGGCTGAAATTTGGACTCAACAATCTCAGCAAGGAGAGCTCCAATATTGGTTTAGGAAGTGTAGAGAGAGGGTGTATAGGTTGCAAGATAGAGATAGAGAGAGAATTCCAAGAATTGGAGCTTTTGGAATTTTTTGGAACCTTAAATCAAGAGGTTTGGCTTGGTATATATAGAAAAAATGCTTAACAAGTCGAAAATATCAAGCCTTGAATAGCTGGAGCTTGTGGGGGACAACTAACCAGAAATATCTAGCTTTTTCACCAGTGGCCTACTGGCCAGAAGTATGGATTGTCGGCCATCAAAAATCTGCTTCCAGGCTCAACTTCAAATGGGCATATCTCCTTCATTCGAAATCCTTTGCAGGTCATTCTCGAGCCTAAATTGAAGCCCCGGAAGTCTAATTTCCAATGGAAGTAACCTCACATAAAAAATATAAGTGTGCTAAGAGATATGCCTATTTTAGTGAAGGTTACTCAGTTTTGACTTAATCGGATGGATGCCTAACTTCCAACAACCATATCTCCCTCATCCGTACTTGGCTTTAGGAGGTTCTTAAGTGTAAAATTAAGCCTAGAAGTCCACTTTCCAATGTTGGTGGCCCCACAATTAAAGTCCAAGTGTAGAAAAGGGTAGGCCTGATTTAGTGGAGGTTGCTTAGTTCTCTCTTAACGGTTGACGCCTAACTTCTCTCCCAACTAATTTTCTTCCCTCTCCTCCAATTTTCTTTAACTCCAAACCTCTAAATAAGATGTTTTAAAGATTTTTTCAAAGAGTTTACCTCTCTTCCATTTTATTTCCACTTTGTCCTTGCTTGGTTTACTGGAAAGTGTAATTTTTAACGAAATGCGAGCCTCAGAACATTGTAGAAACTTTTGGAAAAAATATTTTGAAAAAAGAGGGTTTTAAGGTCTAAAATGATTTTGGTCAAAATCATTTTGGTCCAAAATGGGGTGTAAAGTTGGGATTTAGAGCTCTTATTGCTGAAGAAATCGAACATTTGCACAACACAACTTTCATCATCGAGTGATCAATCAGTGGCGCATAAGTCTTAAGGGCGGTCAAAAATGGGGTGTCTATAGATTGCCGCAGTAAACTGGTATCTCTTAGCCTGCTATCAGCTCCAACCAGTAAGTCTTGGGGCCTGCTATCAGCGCCAAGTTAAAGAACTTTAGGGCCTGCTATCAGCCTTGGGCTAGTAAGGCCTTGGGGCCTACTGTCAGCGCCAATTGTTAGCCTCAACTTGCAGAGGGGAAGCCTCTCTCAACGGCTGCTATGACCTCAGCAGGATGTTCCCTCCGTACGTTAGTTGTGGCGGCTATAGTTGTTGCGGTAGTCATTTCCCGTGGCAAGTTCAAATGGCAGAACCGATAATATTAGAGATGGCGGTGCCGACAAAATACCTCCACAACTTGGGCACTGCAAGTACGCCTCTGCAACGTAATTGCTTTTGTTTTCTTTTTTCTCTCGGCAACTCCAGATGGCTGCGGCATCGACAATACTTGGAATGGTGGCGGCACTGGCAATACTTGAAATGGCGGCGCTGAAACAAAGTGCCTCCGCAACTTGGCACTGAAAGTGTCGCCTCTGCAACTTAGTTGGTCGCTTCGGTTTTATCTTTCCCTCAGCAATTTCAGATGACAACGGAACCGACAATATTGTGAATGGCGGCGCTGAAGTAAAGCACCTCTGCAACTTGTCCGCTGCATGTATTGCCTCTGCAACTTGACTTAAGCATTTTCCTTTGTGGAGTCCGTTTGGATCCTTGGTGGATCGAATCAACTTCGGCCCACTTCCCTTGGGCTTTAGCCCAAGCTCCTTTTTCATTCCTAGTCGCCTCAGAAGGGTGACCTCAGCACTTAAGCCTATACTTAATTTGAGATTTAATTTCTGACCTTCTACAGTAGTGGATTACATCTTTGCATAGAACATTAAAATTGAAGAAAAAGGATTTTAGAAAATGTTAGTAATTTAACTTACTATCATAAAAAAGTGTAAATAATTTACCTGCTAACACCAATAAAGGTTTTTTATTTATTTGTTTTTTATGTTTTTATTTTTTCCAGCGCAGCAATCTCAAGCCCCCCACATTTTGTCCACATTTTCAGAAACAATGATTGAAACCCCCCTACCAAATGGGTTGCTAATTGAAATTGAAGGAAGTACAAGATTGTTTATTTATTCAATCTTGACACTTTTATGATCAAAATTTACAGTATACATCAAAATTTAGTGTTTTTATTAAAGTTTCTTGTAATATAGGGGTGTCCTCCGTCTTATGTACTGCAACATTTGAGTCTTGCCTCTAGCACTCATATTTACCTCCATGAAGACATAGATTTTGTTCCTCTTTGTCTTTATTTTATTGATTGATTTATTTATTTATTAATAACATCACATCAAGAACTTATTTTTGTCTTTGGTATGGTGCCTAAGAAGTTGCAAACCAGACACAAAAAGTTAGTGAAAAGTTGACTTTATGATTTTTTTAGTTTTTTTTGTGGCTTTTTTTGGTAATTTTTTTGTGACTTTTTTGGGAGAACTTAAAAATTGACTTTTTACCAAGTTGCCAAATTGCTCCAAAAACAAATGTGCAGATTAGCTGGCAAACAGGGTATCCTCTGTTTTTGGGTGATGAAACATTTCAGAGAGAGACAGAGAGAGAGAAATGGAAGGTGTTTGATATAATGTTGTTTCTCTTTAATGTAATGTAGGGCAATTCTTTCATTTCATTAGAAAAATAACTATAACACTTTTTCAGATGACTTGATACAAGAGATTAAGATATACTAAAATTACAAAAATATATGGGATTTCCATTATTGTAATGATCCGAGACATGTTATTGACATGCAAACTTAATAGCAGCCACAGAGGTTGACACATATAAATCCACATAGTAGTCTGCAGTTCCATTTGAAACTTGAATTTACAGTTTCAGGGAAGATGGCCAAACACGTTTCCGGTATTCTCCAAGCGCCCACATTGGCCAAATGTTCCTGTATTGTGCATAATGTAGCATACAATTCTTCATGTACACTCCAGTAATTTCCTGTAACATTGATTTTCATTTACAAGTTTAGATCAATTCTTCAGCACAATAAAAGGAAAAAAAATAAAAAGTTAAAATGCTACCAACTTTCTAAACTTAATTGACACAAAAAAATGTACCTGTTGTGGAAAATCTCCGTCATCCATCTGTGCATTAATCAAAAGCTTTGCTGCTCTATGTAAAGGCGTTGGATCTCTCTCGGCCTAGTTAAAAATACCCCACAAAAGAAAGAAAGAAGAACGATTATACGACAAAATATTTAGCTATAGCTTCCTTAACTATCATTACATGATTCAATTGTTTAACACTTAAAAAGTCAGTTGATTGATGCTAACCTGTCCACCATAAAGAAGACCAAGCATAGCCCATGATGTTTGTACTATATTTGTTCGGTTTCCTTCCAAAGTTTGATATTCCATAGAAGGGCATGATTCAAGGCTCTCTCCCCAACCGCCCTCTTCATTTTGTATTCTAAGCAAAAATTGAACGCCTCTGCGAATTGCTTGGCTGTTGTTATAAGTCATTCCAGTTGAAGCTAACCCTCCCAACACGAAAAATGTGCCATAGATAAAGCAAATTCCCCAATAACCATACCTGTAAATATCACATTATACAAATTAACTCCAATTGCCATAGGTATTGAGTCACACAACAGGCTATGAATTATTATTTTCTCAAATGAATTTGAAAGTGAAATGAACTCACCAAGCACCAGTAGGCCATTGTCTCCCCTCAAGGAAAGTTATTCCTTTTGCCACTGCAATGTCTATTTCTTTCTCCCGATGCCCTGGATGTAAACGTTTGAAAGCTAGTAGAGCCTGGATTATAGATGCGGTGCATTCAACATGCCTAGACAGAAGAATAAAATAAAAATCACCAATGTTAGTAACTTTCATCAATCATGTGAAAAAATTTAAATGATAAAGAAATGAAAGAAAAGGTCTATTTCTTACTCTGTCTCAACAACAATGTCAGCAAAAATCTCTGAAGGATTCAACACCTGAGTTAAGAGAAACATGACAATAAAATCATCACATTGGATTCTCTGGAAACTAAGATAGGGCTAGTTTGGTGTACTTTAAAATAATACAAGTTATTGCAATCTGCAAAAAATTGTTACCTGTAAAGCTGGTAATGGAACTGGAGGCTCCCAAATAGCAAAACCACCACTCCCAGGACTCTACATGAAGAAAAAGGGTCAGAAATAAGATTTAGATTTTATAGACCTTGTAAAGTTGTAAAGATGTCCACCTAATGATCTTCATTGACAAAACTCAAATATAAGATATGTGTTTTGTACCTGTAAGTATAGAAGGACATTCACTGCATCATATAGCCTCTCAACGTCAGCTTTCTCCCCAGCAATTTCCGGAGGCATTTGTGAAAGTGTTAGAAGACACTGCAAAGAAATCGGGAATTTAAGTTACCAAATCCCTCCAATTTTGTAAATACTAATAAATTGGTTGAGTTAAAATATAAAGCTAAGTTACCTTCAGTGATTCAGCTGTGCAGTCAGAGACAACCCAACCTTGATCTTGATCAGAGAAACTCCACGATCCTTTAGTAAAGTAACGATACATGTTCGTGAAATCCACTGGATTTTCTTTGATCTTTAAATTTGGAAAAACAAAGTGAGTTAAATGAAGCCAATGAATGCATTTTGCACAAAAATTAATTAAGTTTTTGTGGGTGTAGGAGGAGAAACAAACCTGTGATTCTTTAATGTAAAAGTGTGCCTTCTTAAAAGCATCTCCACATTCATCAATCATATTGCTTGCTAGAAGTGCTTGGGTGGCAAGTGTAGTGTCCCATACTTGACTTCCAAAACTCTGCATTTTCATTCCATCTTCAGCAAGCCATAAGTAATCAGGGACTCGAGCAAGATGATGCTTGAACTCATCACAATTTGGGTCCTCAGCCCACCAACACATCATTTGCAAACTCTGCAATAGGAACATTGTTAGACTCATTTCACAAAAAACAACTTAATCCCATTTACAAACCAAGATCATGAAGTCAAATCCATTTAATTATTTATTTATTTTTTTTTTACTCACCTTTTCGACACATCCTATGGTAATGTATCGGCTACTCTCTGCTCCATGACGCAAGTACTTAATTGTTTTTCGCAGGGCTCTCTCTCTAATCTTCTTGAACGGCCACGTGTTCATAATAGGCTCACTTAGGTAATGAAGACTGTCCCAAAGTAGATCTTGAATGAAGGTGTGATGGTAGTAGAGATCCTCCTGCAATGAAATTTTAGCATAAGTGACTTCAGTAAGCTTGAACATGCTCAAGATTTTCTGTACAATATCAGAATTGCAGTTGGAGGATCAACAGTAGTTTTCAACGAACCTGACAACAATCATGGCGTGCTTTATTCCAATCTATCTTGTCATATGGCCTTGTGTGAATTTCTTCCCTTATTGACTTAACCAGATCGGTGATCGGCCCATGATATTTCCTCCCATACAAGTATGACATGGGCATATATGTGGTGCGACAATAGCACCACATTTTTGCTGCATTATATAGGTATAAACAAGAGTGAGATCAAATATTATTAGGTTATTAAGATACTAACAAAGTAAATAAATTGTCCTGTGCTAACCTGGATGGTAAGGCAAAAATGAAGGGAAAAGCCAGAACTCTGGGGGCAATGGGTTGCAGCCAGCCCATTCATATACTCCAAGTACCTGCAAAAATGAGACTAAATATTTACACAAAATTTGACTTTCCCACATCACCATTTTTCAAATTTAGAACCACGGAGCTGCAAAATAATTAATGTGAACGTGTTAATTTTACCGAGAGATAAGTCTTTCCCCAAGAGGGTATCCCAGTTGCACCACCATTGTCAAGTATCCATTTCCGGGCTTTTGTCATTGCTCCATCTTCTCCACTGTCAGGCCCTTCGCCTAGCAAACGAAGAGCAACGTAGCTAAGTGCTGAGCCAATCATGGTGCTGTGACCTTCTATGTAAAATCCCCATCCACCATCATCATTCTACACGAGAAATTCATTGTGGCAGTTCAGATAAAACATTAAAATTTCCATTTTAAACACTAAATGGATTCGTATTTGCCATACAAAAAACTAGCACAATTTTGATTAACATATATATACCTGATGAAGAAAAATGTAGCGCTTCAGCTCCTTTTTGTGTTCTGGTGTTAGGACAGTGTTAATTGCTCCACTAATGTGCAAGATAATTAGCTGCGTTATGTTACATTTCCATAAATTAGTCAAGTTTGGCAAAATATATGGTTAGTTCAGCAAAATATGTGGTTATGTTACAAATATCATTTTTGGTTAAAAGACTTACTAGGGGTGGGGTAAAAAACATTGGTCCAGCATTTTCAGCAGCCCAATGTCCATCCTTTGTTTGGATTGCGCAATTTAATCGAACAGCTTTCCTCAAGGCAATTGTCGCAGCATCATAGGTCACTTCTTCTTCTTCCCCTAGTCTCACTGGTGGTATGGTTAGATCTATGTTGCTTTCCTTTTTGAGCTGTGGATTGAACATCAGAACTTGCAAATTAATAATCAAATTTTTTCAAATTTTTCGTAGCCTTGACTTATTGTATCAATTGGGCACTTCAAGGTGAGTAATACTCTAATACAAGAAGAAAAGTTAAACATAATTAATTCTCGTAAAAAGCTATATTTGATTGGATTTTGTTACATGTGAGTAACATGACTATGCTAATGGTATATTTTCCTTGATGATTAAAGGTTTTTGTGTTCATTAACCTGCATTCGCATAAAAAGATCAGCACAGGGCAGAGCACGGGCTCGATCTTGTTTGAAAGTTTTTTTGTACTCATCCCGAGCTTCCTCAACAGCTGCTCGCTCCTCTGGTGTACCGGCATTTGGGTCAAACTCCCAAATTTGCCTACCAGTATAGTTGTTGGTGCTGAACAAGTAAGGTTTATTTCCTTCAGCAATCTTGAGCTTCCACATTTTTTCTTTCTTTCGTTAGGGGCTCAACCTCTGCGTTTACATGAAACAAATTACAAATATTACTATTAAAGCTATATTTAAATTGCTTCCTACTACATTATGAATGAAGTAAAGTGTGCCCCAGTTGGGATATGTTCATTCCGCCATGGTGTTTTAATTGATGTAATCTTCGCAAATTACATTAATAAAATTTTCTCTTTTGCCGATGTGTTTCTAAAATATGTGAAATGTTTAAATAATATTATAAAGGGTAAATTACACTGTGCACCCATGCACTTTACACAAAATCTCACTTTAGTCCATACACGTCAAATTGAGACTTTTAACCCCCTGCACTTTTGGTCAAGTATTACATTGGCCCTTTTGTTAATAGTGAGGCTAACAGAAGTTATCTTTTAGGGAGCTAAGTGTCACAATTTTGATATGCTGAGACTAAAGTGGGATTTTGTGTAAAGTGCAGGGATGCAATGTATAACTTATCCTCACATTTTTTTCATGAGCAAAGATCCTCTAGAGTTTTTTTTCCCTAAAGTTTCCTAGAGTGGTGCATTGTGTGGTTGAAATTTAATGGCAAGTCACATCAATTTTTCAGCATTAAATCTCAACCACACAATACACCACTTTAGGAAACTTTAGGAAAAAAACACTCTAGAAGATCCTTGGTGTTTTTTCATGTGACTAACTTCTGTTAGCAATGAGACTAACAGAAGGGCCAAAGTGACACTTGACCGATAGTGCAGGGGGTTAGGTGTTACAATTTGATATGTAGGAGCCAAAATGAGATTTGATGTAAAGTACAGGGATGCAAAATGTAATTTACCCTATTATAAAATCAGTGAAATGTGTTTTTTAATTTGTGAAAAACGTCCCATCTTCTTATCTTTCTTATTTTATTTTTCTCTTGTGCTCTCGAGGTAAATATGAACTTGATAAAAGAAAGGTAAAAATGAACTTGATAAAAGAAAAAAACATAGAAGAAAAGAAAATCATTTATAGCATGTGGTGTGGTGTCTTACATGCTATTGATTATTTCATTTGAATACCCCACATAATACATGAAGAAGAGTAATTTGGGACCAATACGACATGGGAGTTTTGATAAAATACCAGTCTAGAAAAATATATAGGACCCAGCTCCTCTCTAATAATTAGAAGGAGTTGTTCGACACTGGTCGATCTTGATTCAAACCTATATCGATGATTCAAATCATTCAATATGTAGAACCTATTTAGTACATTATTCTTGAAAAAACATAATGTTGATCGATGATCATATCACAAAAATAATTTTTAAAATAAATTGTGATAGAAATGTGATGTGATCAAGTGATTATTGATATCTGATCAACGTGATTTTTATAAAGATGATATAGTCAACAGGTTCTGCACATTGAAACGGTTTGAATCATCGACATAAGTCGGAATTTACCAATACCTAATGCTCTCTCTAGTTATTGAAAATGAGCTATTTCCAAATACATACATACATATATATATATATATATATATATATTAATTTTGCAATCAACTTGTTGAGATGCATTAACTTTTATTATTTCACATGAAAAAGAGAAATATGATTTTCTATATGGTTATTATTTTTTGTCAATGTTTTGTATAACGTCCTATGTGAATATTTTTCTTTTGTTTTAAAAAAAAAAAGGATTAATAATAGATAAATGATAAAAAATAGATAATAATTAAACTCTTTGACCTTAAAACAAAAAAGAAGAAAAGAGGAGACACAACCAAAAAAACGGATGTAGAAACAGAAAGGACGGAGAATTTTAGTGCGGGTAGTGGGACTCTAATTTATATACACTGAATCATCGACATAAGTTGGAATTTACCAATACCTATTTCTCTCTCTAGTTATTGAAAATGAGCTATTTCCAAATACATACATACATATATATATATATATATATATATATTAATTTTGCAATCAACTTGTTGAGATGCATTAACTTTTATTATTTCACATGAAAAAGAGAAATATGATTTTCTATATGGTTATTATTTTTTGTCAATATTTTGTATAACGTCCTGTGTGAATATTTTTCTTATGTTTTTAAAAAAAGGATTAAAAATAGATAAGTGATAAAAAAAATAAATAATAATTAAACTCTTTGACCTTAAAACAAAAAAGAAGAAAAGAGGAGACGCAGGCAAAAAAACGGATGTAGAAAAAGAAAGGACAGAGAATTTTAGTGCGGGTAGTGGGACTCTAATTAAACGCCATGTGGATCACCAATTATATTTTTATTTATTATTATTTTTGTATTGGCCCTCCCCCTCCCCCCCTTCAGGGTAGTACTCAAGACTTTTCTTCAACAGAGATTTGGTAATGAAAAAGTTAAATTAATATCATTAAAATTTTAAATCAACCCTATATTATTATGTCATTTTAAATTTTAAATCATTTCTTAATATTTTTGAATTTAATATATATTAAAAAAAAAAAAGAGGATACGGTTGTTTTACAACTATTGAAGATGTAATGGAAGGGATTCAAATCTATTGCAACCAGATACATGTAGTGGTTTGGGAAGTTGAGTTAGCATTGGTCGAGGTTAAAATAGTCAAAAAGAAATAAAATAAAATAGACTTTTTAGTTTCAGATTAAAAGTTGTCACATCTAAATCATAATTATTTTATTTTTTTTCCTTACAAGAGTCAAAATCTAAAAAGTTCATCCAAAATGAGACTTTTTAGCTCCAGACTAAAATAGTTAAAAAAAAAAACTCAAAACTCAACTCACATCTCAAATGAAACTAGTTGTGTTGTGTCTTTTCTCAGTATATTAATTAGTAATTTATCAAACAGTAAGGTCAAGTTTGGCATACTTCAAATAATCCATCTTTTTATCTTTTTATCTTTTTTTCATCACATCACCTCTCTACTTTTCTGCATATCTTTTCGTAAAAAGACAAAAAAGTACACTTATTTAGGTCATTCCAAACAACCCATAAATAATTTAATTTCTAAGACTTTGTGTGTACTAAAAATTGTTTAATGGGGTTATTAATTTTGATATATGTTTAAAATGTATAAAATATAAAGAGGATAAAAAAATACATAAAAGGTTTGTAATTATGTTTAAAAAAATTATAATTATAATTGTTTTGACATTTTTAATTATCTTGATGACGGTTGTCATTAACATGAATATATTTATTTTTGAAGGGTAAAAAACAAAAACTAAAAATAAAATTATTAACTCAAAATATAAAGTAGCATACAATGAGATAATAAAAATAAGTTGGTAAGATGGCAACAAAACAAAATCGTCGAATCAAAGATCTCTTGTCAATATTCATTCTTTGGTCCGGCTAAAGAATTATAAAATATTGACATAAAATCAAGATAGGTGGCTGCAGTATAATAGGTGGAAAACAATATCTGTAGTCAACTTTTCTTTTACTTTTTTATTTCAATTTTTTATATAATGTTAACACAACATAAATTGTATGCATATATTTAAGATCCCGGCAAATTTTTAAATGGTCACATTGTACACGCTGTGATTATAATTTATTTTTTGTATCAATTTAATTATTGTAATTTTAATTGTATCATTTTGATTTTTGAAATTTTAAAATTTTATTAATTTATTTTAATTAATAATATATGTTTAGAAATTATACTTAAAATTAAGAGAAAATTAATCTAAGGTCCCTCTCATATTTTTAATAATAGAAGAAATCAACAATATTATTTTACGATGTCTAAGGTCTCTCAACTCCACACTCATATATCACAAAAAATTTTGAGTGTCGCAAATCAAATCTCATTTCTCTCTCCCTCTCACACCGTTTAGCCTTCTCATTACTTCTTCCATTTGATGAGAACAATGAGAATAAAGCAAAAAGAAAATAAAAGAGAAAGCATTGTGAAGTTCCTGGAATGGCTCTCTACCAAATTAGAATTTAAAACAGGTGATCGTTATCTATAAAAACTCTTTGATAAATTTGTGCATCAGAATGAATAGCATATTATATAAAGGACAATTAATACTGGGGACATGGATTTAGCAAAGGTGTTTGATGAAATGCCAAGAAGAGAATTTTTGTCAAGAGAAATTTGGTGAGGGTGATGTGTCCAGAGAAATTTAGAATCACAGAGAAATTTGGAATTTTCTCTATGATGTATCCAAAGAAATTTAGAATTTTCTCTGTGATGTGTCTAGAGAAATTTGGAATTTTTCCTATGATTTGTCGAGAGAAATTCTTTGGATTGAATTTTCTCTGAATCGATGTTGAGAGACCTTAGACATTATAAAAATATCGAGTGTCTTTTATTCTATAAAATCTTAATATTAGGGATCTTAAAAAAAAGTCCCCTCGAATCAAAAGGAAAACAAATCCATTAACTCCTCTCAAAATATTGTATTGGTGTCAAATTTTTGCATTCCCTTTTAAATGGCCTTTTTTTTTTTTTGTCCCCAATGATTTTTATCCAATTTTTTAATCAAGGTTTTCAAATGGACAAAATTTACGTAGTGTGAAAGATTAAAGAACAAAATTAATATAATATGTAAATTTCAAGGACTAAAAATACAGTTTAATTTTTAAAAATTATAGAACTCACTATAACACATAAAAAATTAAAATTTTTGATAAAATATTTTAATAATATATACCAACCTTCATAATGTATAGTCCTTTCAAAGCCCAGCTAAAGAAACACAATAAAAAACCAGCATACAATTTTATTTTTATTTTTTTATTTTTTTATTTAAGGTGGAAAACTAGAGGGGGTAAAAGTGTTTAGTCTTGGCATATCTTTGTAGGATCTGAGTTCCACTTTTTTATTGTGTCTATAAAATGATATAAAGAAGGAAAAAAATCCAGACCCCTTTTTCCCCCACCCCTTTGACCCCCTCTCTCTCTCATTGGTTAGTTTTTTTTTTTTTTTTCTTCTCCTCCAATCACCACCCGCCACGTGTGTGTGGGGTGGTGGGGGTGGTGATAAAGAAACCGTCAATTTTTACATAAAATTATGTAAAAGTTACACACACACATATATATATATATGATACTCATGCAAAAACAAAAGGAAACAAAAAATATTCATGAAGCTAATTGTATATGATTGGAAAGAGAGAAGAAGGAAAAAATAAAAATCAACAACTAGTATTCATATTGCTAAGGTCAAAAAACATTTGTACAATTTATAAATAACTTTGCTACATACCGTTATTAATAATTAATTTTTCTTCTAATTTAAACACATGGACATAGAATTCACACCTATTGTGTTAATACACACGTTTGTATTAGTAAAAAAAAATCACTATCATTTTTGATACAAGAAATGTATTTGAGAGGCCTTACGATGGATTTTAGTTGGCGGTCTTTGTTGGGCACCTCGACTCACAAACCATGGTTTTTAATTTTTTACCAAGTGGAGTTTTTATCTTTTGCTATTGATACATCCCCTTATAACTATTTATCAGTTGATTCTCAATACATACGTATCGATTTATAACTATGTCACCCGATTAACGATACACAACTTGGATCACCATTGGAGCCCTTGATGTGCATAAATATGCATGTATGTAAGAGAGAAGCTCACACATATGCCTGTGCATGAGAGAGAGTTCCTTTTTTGGCCCTTTTTTTTTTTTTTTTGATAACTCAGGTATCCCCAACTCGCTGATTTTAAGGGAAGCCAGGACTAATCCTAAGGACCGTGAAGTTAATGACCGGGCAAACCTCCAGTGGCCCCAAGAAGTAACTCGAACTCGAGACCTGTGGATTTGAGCCCTTGATGTGCATAAATATGCATGTATGTAAGAGAGAAGCTCACACATATGCCTGTGCATGAGAGAGAGAGAGAGAGAGAGGTATACCTGACTGATGAAGGAGTTGAATGCCCAAGTGTGGAGTACTCAGAAGAGGGATTTGAGCTACAGAAGAAGAGTAGCCCAAAGAAGTTGATGAATGGTTGTTGTTGTTGTGAAGTGATGATATTGGATGGGAGTTTGTGAGAGATATATATAGACTATATTTGCACCTGGTTGGCGTACAAGACCAGCCACTCTATTATTGTTTATTTTTTTATTCTAATTAAATTAGCAGTCAAGTTTTACCAAGGCAAAAAAGTCGACCTGTGGTTGTAGACTTGCCCCAAGTTCCTTGTTGGAGGCTTTATAATATTCAACTATTTATTTGCTAATAAATTTAACTACGACTTATGATTTTTGCCTCTACCTAAATCCCTCTAATCCTAATATTTTATTTCTTCTTTACTCTGGAGGTCAGTTTTGACATTTTCAGAATCTAAAGCCGATTTTCGATATAAGATATCAAAAGATTATTTTTATTTTTATTTTTTTTAGGTTACTTGGATATATATAACTATTCAAATTTACTTAAATATATATATAAAAAAATTTACATTAAAAAAAATGATCAAAATAAAGGTTCAATACATCCATTGTTTTAATTTTTTTTTTTTTTTTTAAAATTAGCAAAGGGAAATTTTTTTATTGATGTATAAAATAAATTACAACTTCGAAGCATACATCAACACCACAACGGGAAGTGCAAAAACAATTCATTGTAATGATGTTGGTTTTATTTTTGTACCAACACAGTTATGAAAAATTCAAAATTAACTTTTTTGATGTTTTCTAACAAGTAAATTGTATTTAGGAAAAAAAAAATTTGAAAACAGTTTTCGTAAATACTTTGTGAAACATATTTTTTTGGCAAATGTCAGGAGAATAATTATAGAATTTTTTTTTTCGAAAACAGTTATCAAGTTCTTTTGTCAATTAGTAACAAAATACTCCAATAATAAGTATACAATAAGTTGAATAACTACAACAACTACAAAATCATCAACCCCTAAGGAACACTGAAACTCAAAATCTCAACAACCATGAAATAATAACACCACTCAAAACCCGTTTGGTAATATGTTTTAGCAATATTTTTTAACTAAGAAATCAAAATATTATTAAAAAAAGTTTAAAATATAATATATATATATATATATAATAAAAGTCATAAAAAAAATTGGGACAGTTACGATAAATAAATAAATAAATAAATTCTTAATTTTATCAATTTAAATCTTAATCTTTTAATTTATTTTTAATCTAAATCATTTATTTATTTTCGTTAAATAAAACCAACGAAAAAAAGAATATTTTAGTCATTAAACTCAATGTAAACATACATAAAATGTCTAAAATATAATTTTTTATTGAGTTTTAATAGCTAAAATACCATTTTTTTTGGTCAATTTTATTTAACGGAAATAACAAATAGTTTAGATTGAAAACAAATAAAAATTTATGATTTAAATTGATAAAATTAAAAACTTATGGTTTATTTTTGTTATAAAGCTCAAACTCTAGGATTTTTTTTGTAATTTCTCAGAAAAAAATTCTCATTCACTCTACTTTTTGCACATTTTTTTTTTAAAAATCTAAAAATTCATTTCAAAATTTTCTATTATTTTAATTCATATTTTAGTAAAAAAAAAATCACTTAAAATAACCACTTTTCAAATTAGTGTTGATACTTCATTCAAAAGAAAAAAGGTAAATCACACTTTGCACTCTTACATTTTGCATCAAATCTCATTTTCACTCCTACACATGAAATTATGGTAGTCAACTCCTTACACTTCTACTCAAATCTCACTTTGATCTCTGCACATGAAATTGTGACAGTCAACCTCCTGAACTTTTGGTCAAATCTCATGTTGGTCCCTATACAAGTGTTAATGTTCTTTTTCTGTTACTCAATTGTTTAAATCTTTAATAGAATCTAGCTATGTGATAAGAATGTGACTACAACATAAGAATAAGAAAGGAAAGTCATCTACATTTTCTACCAATACACACTGTATCCCAAAATTTATATTAAAATATGACTGTATTAAGTTAAAATAAAACACAGCTTGTGAACAATTAAGAAGATGAACTAGGGTTTTACATAAATTGGAATTATGAAACTGTGTTTTTCATGGTTACACAGTCTTCTGTCTATTAATTTTTCTTTCTCTTTGATTTTTTTGTCACATTTTTTTATTTATTTATAAATTTCAAAAGCTTCACTTTCTTGCATTTCCATCCCAATTTTATCATACAAACACACACACACACACACACACACACACACACACACACATATATATATATATATATTGTATTATATAACTCTCATGTGCTTATCACGTAGGACAAAGTATATTGGTGGAAATATGGAAGATTTTCCTCTCTTACTCTCACTTCGTAGTCATATTTTTTTTACATGACTGGATTTTGTCAAAGATTTAAAAATAAAATAACAGAAGAGAGACATTAACACTTGTGTAGGGACCAAAGTGGGATTTGAGTAAAAGTGCAGGAGGTTGACTGTTACGATTTCATGTGTAGGGACTAAAGTGAGATTTGACTAAAAGTGTAGGAGGTTGACTGTCATGATTTCATGTGTCCGCCAAAGTGAAATTTTATGCAAAGTGTAGGAATGTAAAGTATAATTTACCTAAAGAAAAAAAGTGAAAGTGTTCATACTTTAGTAAGGTTTATTCTTATAATTTTGGTATAATATATATATATATATATATATATTATTTCCATCTTCCAGTTTCATCACTTCTTACACTTCAAAGTAAGTGCTCTGGTAACTCACTGGGTTGTGGCACTTTGGCAAGGGTTTTGAGTGTAACCCTTGAGGTCATAAATTCCACACTCTCCAGGTCAGCTATTAGGGGCCTGGTACAATAGTCTTGGGATGGCCCTCCAATTGCTTAAACGACTTATATTTAGGGCTTGGGTGTGGGGTCGAAGTTTGACAGCTACACTTTCTGACTAAAATGATATGTGTGTTGTGAAATCAGTGCATACATCTAAAATTTTTTCATTATCCTACTCCGATTAACTAACATTAGATAATTGATTCTAATAAATTAACATAGGCCGGACTCGGAGAGTTTTACTCATTAACCAAAAGTGCCCTCGTTTATTACATGTAGATCACATAAAAGTTTGACACAAAATTGAAACCAGTAATTAAATTATCCAACAAAAACTTGTTCACTTTCCTATCTCACGCTTTTCTTTACTATAAAATGATGACATGTGTCCAGCCTTCAATTTGGACCAACATCATAAACGGACACCACACTTTGGACAATCTCATTAATTAACTCGGTAGCATACTTTCGTGGAAGACTGATATTTATGATCATAGTTTTTTTTATTACTTTATTTTCTATATAGCAATATATAACTACAGATAAGAATTAATAAAATTCATCATGTCGATGTGATATGAAAGTCAAGTTGTTAGTCCATAAGAAATGAAGAATATTACTAAAATATTTTGATAATATATAATAGTCCGCTTTCCGAAAATTATAACCTTCAATTTGATTAATTGTTTGTTTCGTAAATATATGTAAATAGTATGATATTTATACTTTTTTATCGGAAAATTTTTATTATTTTTTCTTTGGTTGCAAATAAGCAACCAAAGAAACAAACAACAAAAAAATTACAAGGACATTTTTTTTTCAACTCAATTAAGTAAAATTTATCCATAAATCTCATATTGAAAAATGATGATCTATTTAATCCTACGGATTTTTTTATAAGAATAAGCTTGTCTCCACACTTTCATCTCTCAATTCCTCTCCATACCCCTTTTGTATACCCCAATTTGGACTCGCACCGATGATCCGAACCACCTATCTCGTAAGTTTCATAATAAAGGCCATCCATACAAAAAATAAGTTTCATCGAAAAATTGTATTACTTAAGAAAAAAAATCACATTTTATTTTATAAAATAACGACAAATGTGATTGTAAACTTAAACCATTCATTTTATAAAGTAAAATATTTTTGTTTATGTGTTTATAATTTTCTGATGAAGCTAATTTTTTGTATGGATGTCCTTTATTACGAAATTTACAAAATAGATAGTTCGAATCATTAGTGCTGGTTTGAATTGGGGCCTACAAGAGAGGTAGGGAGGGAAATGGGGTTCCTACTGCGTTGAGGCCCAATGGGGGCGTGTCCCAAGTCTTTTTCGATAATCTGAATCGTTTATATTGTAAGATTTGTCAAATAGATCATTTATGAAAAAAAACAAGTGAATTAGACATTTGTAACCTCATACTAAGAGCACATTTGTTTTTCAAAAAATAAATGGTTAACACGATTTTAATAATTTTTTAAAAACAATTAGGACCTAATCATGGGGTTACAGATTTTCGATTAATTTGATTTTTTATATGAATAATATACTTGACAAATCTTACAATCTGAACGGTTCAGATTATCAAAATATAGTCAAAAAACACCTCTATGAGACCTCATAGCAGGGCTGTTGTGCCATAAGGCACAGCAACAACCCTCAGTCCAGTATGGAGACGTATGTAGAGACGAAGGTATGGAGAGGGAGCTTATCATTTTCTTAAAGGCCAATTAGTCCCACTAATTTTGGAAAGTTAGATTTAATATTTTCTTTGGAAATTAGATTTACAGTTATGCCAATATTTCCATTACGTTTTTTTTTTCTTTTTCTTTTTTCATTTGTGCTAGAAATTGAGTGAATCTAGTGGCACAAATGCCTTACACACAAAAAGAAAAATGTCACACTATACAAGTCCACATTGTTTCCCATTAAACATACTATCAAAAAATAAAATAAACTATAAAATGTAACATTGCGTACATCCACATTGATTTCCATTGAGCATAAAATCTTCTAATATGGAAACCTTTTTGGGGTGGGATGTTGTGGGATCTCTTGGATGCGTATCCAAGCGCGTCCAACAGTTCAAACTATCGTCTGGTTTCACGAGTGCAATGTGAAACATAATAAGAATCCAAATTTGGAAAATTCATAGTAAATCCACTAATCACAAGAAATACCAAATTGGAAACCGAATTGATTGAGTATACGTTAGTTAAATTGCATTTTATCTGTTGACAGTATGATTATCTGTTCATGTTCATATGTTTAAACAGCTAATTGAAGGCCTT